AAACAAATGCAAATAAATGCATCAGTCAGTAAGGCACACAGCAAGAATTTCCCCTTTATTCCCAAGTCCTTGAAACATTCACTTGGAGAGTGATCTCACTGAATAAAATTGCTTCCTGGAGTGGGTAGTTTCGGCCTGCAATGCAAACCTGTTTCCAGTCCAGGCTGCTATGTACAGTTCTGAAAAACAAATATTGATTGAACAATGGGAAACTTTAGTCAATAGTTATCTTGCCAAGCTTATCCCAGAGATACAGAGAAATATAAACCAATAAAACAGCACTGAGCATGCTCCCCGTTTACAAGTGGTGGGAAGTCGCAGCCAGCTTTTAGAGAGTGTGTTTCCTAGGAGAGGGGACTGCACCAGGCTCTCCCCCATGATTTGCAAATGTACGGGTTGAGTAGATATTACGAGTGCACGGAAGCAAGTACACTGGCAGCTACAGAACGAGCACCCTGGAATGTAGAAATTGCTCGCCCCGGGCCCAAAAAACCCTCTGCACATCTCTACCGACAGCTGGGATTGGACCCAAGGAACAGGATGGAGGACTAGATGGACAGCTGGCCCAATCCAGCAGAGCTGTTCTTCAATTCTTATGTCTTCCACTGGCGAAAAGGGGAAGAGAGGTCTTCAATGGCCACTAAAAAGGGCACCGCTGTGGATCATGGGACCTGCATGGATAAAAGTCATATGGAACAGAGGCTGTAATAAGGAGGGGAATTGGCGAGGACTGAATAAAAAGGCTGGCTGGATCCAACCCCTGGTTTCAGCTCCAAACTGGCATGGGGGAATGGATTCAAGGATGTTTTCAGGCATACAAAACAAGGTTTGTGCCCAGTGTATGTGACGCATCCCTTCATCCATGGGGTTTCTCCTCCATCTAGCCTTCTGCCCCCACACTGGATAAGGGCAATGGTATATAGGGCTGGCAACCTTCAGGTGGTGGCTGGAGATTACCTGGAATTTCAACTGATCTCCAGGTGGCAGAGATCTGTTCCCCTGGAGAAAATTACTCCAATCTTCCTGGAAAAAAATGACTGCTTTGTAAGGCGGTCTCCATGTCATTATACCACAGTGGAGTGCCTCCAAATCCCACCCTCCCCAGACTCCATCCTCCCCCAGCAACCTCCAGGAATTTCCCAACCCAGAGCTGACAAATCCTATGCATCTGACCAGGGCACCAGTCCTGTCCCCTTTATAATTATAAATAAAATGGCATTTTGATCTTTGCATTTCTCAACCCTGTAGCAGTGTAAAGTGAGAAACAATGCTGGTCGAAATTCTCCCTTTTTTGCTACCAATGATGATAGTGGCTCTGTAGCCTCTGGCCACCTGTTGAATTAGGGTTGCCAGCTTCAGACTGGGAAATACCTGGAGATTTGGGGAGAGGAGCCTGAGGAGGGGGGCTTTGGGGAGGGGAGGGACTTCAATGGGGTGTAATGCCATAGAGTACACCTTTCAAAGTGGCCATTTTCTCCAGGTGAACTGATTTCTATTGCCTGAAGATCAGTTGTAACCCAGGCTATCTCCAGCTACCACCTGGAGGTTGGTAACCCAATGTTAGATAGACAGTCCATGCACCTCATCCAGCTGCTTCTGTTTACCAGGGAAAATCCCATGTCCTAGTCCCTACCCCTGATATATCGCAATCCCTGCTTTGGCCTTTTGGATTTATTTATTAAAATATTTGTGCCCTACCATCCAAGGGTGGTTCAAGGCAGCTTAAAAGGTGTCTTGTTAAAAGCTTCCTGCTGTGAACTGCTAGTATTATCATTCTCTAGAGTTCGGCTCCTTCTTCAGTATCTCTAGAAGTGAAACATTTCAGTGAGGAATAGATGGGTTTTTTTCTTTAATGCACATGGATATAAACGCACACATATGAACACCAATGCACCATGCAATACACAGGCTGTTATTTCCCACGCTGCAGCTGCTGAGATCTGTTTTGAATTACTGATAAGAACAATTATGTTTTCTAGCATATCTTTTCACCTAGAGAACAAACCACTCCTTGCTTTTAAACCAGTACTGGCCAGGGAGTTGGCAGAGTAAATGAATAAACATATGGCAAATGAAGATGGGCAGATTCTTCAATGGTGCATATGGAGAAATGCCCTCCACCCTAGAATTCACCCCAATAACACAGCCGTAAGGACTGTATTCTGTCTGTGAGGTAGAACCCTACTGCAAACTCATAGCTGGAAAAAGGGGAAGAAGGGGATGAGTCCTCAAGCCCCAAGCACGGTAGTGGTTACAGAAACAAATGGCTGTGGCCAAAGTAAGAACAAAA